TTCCCAGCCAATTTTATTTTTAGAGGAATAATTGGGTGGGTGTGACAAAACATAGAGATTCCAGAGGACTCGACTTTGTATCTATCTGACTAGGAACAAGATACACATGAACATAATAGTGTTTGTCCGGATTGATTTTAAAGATCTCCCAATCGAAATAAATATATCAAATTTGATATTTTCTGTTTTGTTTTGTAGGAGATTGATATGATCGACCGTAATCAAATATTACTAAGAACACGAATCGGAAAAATAAATTAGTTCATAAATTTAGCTTTATTTGTAAGGATATTATTTATATATATTACGTAATAAAGTTTGGATAACTTCTGTATAAATCATTGTATTCTGTAATTTTATAAATAAGAGTTTATTATAATTTCTCCATAACATTTACTCTCACAAATGACCTTTTGGCTATTTGAATCCAATAAAACTCTTTAAAAACCGGAGTTCAAAAAAGAAAATGCATGCTAATTAAAGCTCTCAAGACTCCGACTTGAAAACTCATTACAATTAAGCAATTCTTGATAAGAATCTATGAATGTAGAAGATGTTGTTTTTGTTAGGGCATGTGATAAACAACCAAACCATATAACTGAAACTTTAGAAAGAATAAATGGTGAACCGTATTTTAGAGCTCAATAGTTCCTCAAATAAACAAATGCAATAATTTATTGTCTTGCAAATTATTTAAAAGAAACCATGTGCCAAGAAAACAAGTTTTTGTTTTGGATGTTGAAGATGAAAATTCGATCAATATAATCATCTCAATCTTACAAGATTGAGATTTGATACAAGGACCGAATTATCATCCTCAACATGCGAAAGAATCACTTTTTTTTTCTTTTACATATTTTTCTTTGGGGCAATTTGCTCAATAACAAAAAAAAATATTAAGAACTAAAAAGTAACAAAAAATTGTTCCATGTGGCTAACTTATAGCCAATAGATTTAGGTTATTTGGTTAGGATTTTAGATTAAGTTTTTTTTTGGTTATTCATGCCAATTACCTTTTTTCTTTTGAGTAATTTTGCAAGGATAATTATAGTGTTTTTTGGTTTGTGTAGAACCATTGAGCTCTGTAATACAGATTTGCTATATATTCCTTTAATACTCTTAATGATTTTAGAAAATTTTTAAAAAATACCATTTTTCAAGTGCCATTTTACAAAAATGCCACATTTTTGAAATCTTTACAAAAATGCTACTTTTTCAAAATTATTTTTTCTTTATATTATTTATGTTTGAGTTAATTATGTTCTATTAGAGTTTAGTTTTGAGTGTTTAGGGGGTTTTAGGTGTCAAAACATTCTTTAGGGTTTAGAATTTTAAGATATAAGCTTTATAAATCTATAATTAGTGGCATTTTTGTAAATGGACACCTCTAAGTGGCATTCTTTCAAATGTACACACAAAAAGTGGTATTTTGTAATTGCCCCATGATTTTAGCTATATGTTGGTTCTTTTTCACATGCCGTAAAGTAAATATCATCTCCTAGATTTAATAGATTATCATTGAAAGTTGTTTTGCTTTGATTGTAACGAGCTTTGGCATTAGCCTTTTTTCCATGATGCAAGACTTAATTAAGAGTCTCATTGGATTCATTTTTTTTTCCACTAGAAATGATCGCAAAACGGCAATTTCTCTCTAACTTGAACGGCGGAGTTTGGTGTACTAATGAAACACATATTTGGATCGGGTTCACTACGTTTCAGATATTAGGTTACAAAGACATAATTAAATTTATGTCAAATTGATGATGAGGTTAAATACACATAGTGTGTTGTTGAAGGATTATAATAGACTGCATAATAATACAATTATTAACTAATTGTATAGAGATACAAGGCACCCTAAAATTTCCAAATCACATGTAAATAATGTATTTACAAATAAAGATGTGTTTTCTAAACATTTTTGAGGATGTATTCCAGAGGAAAAGACGTGAGAAATAGATATTATCCTTTGACGATAAAGATAGGAAAAGGGATAAATGAAAAGAGGTGATGAGTGTTGGATCGTAAAAGCCAACCCATTGAATTATACACTTGCACGATACTTAAAATTCCAAATAATTCGGAACAAAAAACAACTGTATACTATTAAAATAATTAACAGACTCAAATAAACTAATTCGTG